CCCTCTTCTCATCCCGTTCCTCCTTCTCCCGCTGGTCCCTCTCTTGCTCCTCGCGTTGCCCCTCCCCCCGTCCACTGCCCTGGTCCTCACCCTCCCATCCCCCCCCTCCCGCTCATCCCGTTTGTCCCCACCGCCTTTTTCCGACACGGAAAAGCAACACGCGGGCCGCAGGTGCTGTGCGCGAACTCGCAGCTGTGCTACGTGTGCGACAGACCCCAAAAAGAAAGTAGTTTTTTCTTTTGTTGAAGTAGTCTTTTTCCCCCTCGATTTGCAAATGTGATCCTTGTGCAGGAGCCATCCTAAACGAACTTTCCCGATGCAGAGCCTGCAAAACGACAAAAAAAAGGAAAACCGGTGCATCTTGCCATTTTCTGCCTGAGGATCCAGTATCATTTTAGAACATCTGGAGAGCTGCGGAGCAAATGCTCGGTACTCTCCACGTGCGCAAAAGACAAAAAAGATGGCAATGTATTTCTCCGTGTTCTAGCAGTGGATTCAGGGCATTGCTGCACTACTCCCGACACGCACAAAAGACAAAAATCATGGGGGCGTATCTCGCCATGTTTCTAGCGAAGATTCGCTCTCGTTTTGCACATTTCGAGAGTAGTGCAGCGAGGCCCTCAGGCCAAAACGAAAACAACGGGCGGGACAAAAGCAAACCCGCAAAACGACAGAAAAAAGGAAGAAAAGGAAAGAAACGAACAAAAGGAAACTGGCAAAACGACAAAAAAAAAAAGAAACGAAACAAACGAACAAAAGGGAACCCGTGTATCTCCCCATGTTCCAGAGGAGAATTCAGTCTCATACGAACGACTCAACGGGCCCCCGCAGTCGAATCGCGAACCCGCCAACCCGCAACAACTGCGGCGCTCCCCGTCGGGCCTAAGGCTGCCTGTCCTGCGCCGTTCCCAACACTGGATGCAGGTTCTCGCGGGAGCGTTACGCGAGACCCTCTATTTCCTTAACGACAGTAAGGGATAAAAAAACTCACATACTCGATGGAGAGAAAGTCCATTGACAGGTCAGCCAGCACCTGCAAGCTCTTGGAAGGTTGGCGTTATCAGCTGTTGTCCCCCGTAAGGGCCCCTTGTGCTAAAGGGGGGATCATCTGTAGCAATTTTTCTATTCTGTGGGATATAAAAACTGGTCATTTTGGGCTGTGTCGCTGTGGTTGATTACTTGCCGAATGTGACAGTTGGTCAGTAAGCCTGTCCAGTTTTAACGGAGTTCGCAGAAAGATACATTGGCCAGTTCCTGTGCTTGGTGAGTAGTAGATCAAGGCTCTTTGAAGTCTTTGTTAATGAACAGTTTCATGTCTACAGTACTCTGTATCATTAGGAGCCCATGTACTTCCTGATGCCTCTCTGACTATGATGACTATGATTTTGGTATAATTGTCATATGTGTGTGTGTGTGTGTGTGTGTGTGGGTGTGGGTGTGGGCGTGGGCGTGTGTGTGAGTGTGGGTGTGGGCGTGTGTGTGCATACCATTCTCAGGTTGTTATAGTAGCTCATGGATTGCCCGTAACACCAGAAACATTTTTGGAGTGGAGAGAGCGGTTCGAGGCGGAACAAGCATTGGCCCGAGCGAAGTAAGGGGATGCTCCAGCAGTCTTTTCTTTCTTTTGATTCTTTTTTTTGTTTCCATCAATTTATGGTTTTACCCTCTAATAGTCTGTGTTTTTATGTTTGTTCGTCGTCATATGGCGATTTCACCCATGCCCTTTTTGCTATGTACTCCGTCCTTACGTTCACTAGCTGCCATCTATTGTTTTCTATTTTCTATGCTAATGTCGTCCCCCCTACATCGGAAGAGAGTCAACGAGTCCCAGTTCTGTGCAGCATGGCAACTTGGCATCTTCCGCCGAACACAACACACCCTCATTATGCCTGTACCGGACTGCCAACATGGCTTGGATACATTCATTATTGTGGGTGCATTGCATTTGAAGGAAGACGGTAGGTGTATATGATACGGTTACGTCGATTAGTCACGAGGAAGTGAAGTTGCGATTAGTCATTTGCTCCATCATTGGGAGCTGCGTAGCACGGCGAACGTGTTTGCGCCCCTCCGCGTTTGTGCGAACGGCTGGTGAACGTGTTTGGGCGATTATAATGTCTTTTCTTTTGTTTCAGTTTTCACTCACGATTGGCTAAGAATTTGAACAAGACGCCAAGGCGAAAGTTGCTTGTATTGTTGTTTTATTTGACATATATTTTTTTGAATTTTTTTCTCAGATTTTCTGAGACCTTTTTTTTTTTTTTTTTTTTTTTTTTTAATGTTCACGTTCGGAGGGTTTTGGGCGCTTGTTCACATTCCGGTGAACATGTTTGTGTTCGCCTCCGAACGCAAACACGATGCTAAGCAGACTGGGAGTTATTCTGTGTACTTTGGCAACATCCGTTAAAATCCGGAAAATATTTAAATTATCCCTGTTCCTAAGGCCATTCCTATCCCTTCAGACAATATGGAGTGCTGGACCTGTTCCTATCCCTATTGCTATCCCTTTTCCTTATTCCTGTTCCTTTTGCATGATTGCCAATCATGCAAAGGGGTGCTGGACCTTTTCCTATCCCTATTCCTACCCCTATTCCTATCCCTATTCCTACCCCTATTCCTACCCTTATTGCTATCCCTATTCCTACCCCTATTGCTATCCCTATTGCTATCCCTATTCCTACCCTTATTGCTATCCCTATTCCTACCCCTATTGCTATCCCTATTCCTACCCCTATTGCTATCTCTTTTCCTTATCCTTATTCCTTTTGGCAATCATGCAATAAGCCTGAGATATCAGCTTTGAAGTGGCCAGCCCCAGGCCCAGGCCCAGGCCCATCAGAATTATTTCATTCTAGTCATGTTGTTCCACGGGGATCTGGACTCGAGTCTGTACTATAACAGTTAATGGGTGTACCAACTGAGCTAGGCTCATGGATGCCCTACCCCTGTTCCTACTGCTGTCCTTATCGATATTCCTATCCCTGCACACCTCTGTCTCTGTACAATTCCCTGTTTTACTGCCTGATTCATTCCTCCTCGTTCTTACTTCCTGTCCCATTCCCACTTGTTCCCACTTTCTATCCCTTTCCCTATCACGGTAGGGACACTATTAGGCACAGAACAAGTTCAGACAAGGGGTTGCTGGACCTGGTCCTGGGCCTAATAGTGTCCCTACTGTCTTCGCCCAAATAGGACGCCCGGTCATTATAACTGTATATGGGGCAATTCTCAGTCTAGATACAGCGATAATGACCGGGCGTTCTATTCTGGCCAAGACGGTAGTTGTCCGAATCGGTGTCCCTCTCACTGTTCCACTCCTTGTCCGGGTCCAACCTGCATTAGCCCCTGTTCCAGCCCCTGACTGAGTTTTTTTTTTTTTTTTTTTTTTTTTTTTTTTTTTTTTTTCAGCCTGACTACCGTCGTCACGCCAATAGAACGCCCGGTCACTATAGCTGTATCTGGACTCGAAATTGTACCAGATATGGCTATAATGACCAGGCGTTCTATTCGGGTGAAGACGGTACGGCTGACACTCTTGTCTGTCTGCTCAGCGATGCTACCTTACCTCTACGTTCTGCTTTGGCGAGTTTTGGTCTTTCAGACAAATTAGTCAAGCAGATCATCTGTTTCTTAGCTTTGATCGTTTCATCAACATTTTATAATTTTCATTACAATCTCTCTGATGATGTCCACACCTATGAGTCCTACCTGTTTTTTCCACATTTCAGACTCGCTATTCTGGTCATTTCGGTTTGATTAGCCATTTACTGTTTTTATAACTTTTTAAACATTAAACAACCACAACCTCCGAGCCAAACTTTGCCGAAGCGCCAGCGCGTTTTGGCTGGCGGTCGCTAGCCATTTTGGTCCTGTGCCGCACGTCCTTTTTTGAAGAATGCGGTATATGTTATATTTCCGTTTTGCCTTTGCCTGTGAAAGGTAGTGGTGGTTTAAGTTGTCGTCGTCGTCGTCGTCTTTTTTTTTTTTTTTTTTTTTTTCGGTTGACTGTTAGCAGCTGCCAAGGGTGACAAGACCGTCCCCAACCCCCCAGAAACGGCATCGGTCCTTATCAATTGAAAAAGAATTGAAACAATACAGAGAACATAAGAATGGGTTGCAAGAAACGGGGGTGGGGGGGGGGAGGTTTGTGTGGTTAGAGTGTGGCCACAACGTCACCTGCTCTTATCAATTGACATGTGGGCTGAATGCCCTCAAAAACTGGGGTGGGCCCTCATAACATGGGGGGATAGACGGACCGATCCCGTCTTTTTATTCCTCCTGCCTTTTATCCTCCTCCTCCTCCTCTGTTTTAGTGAGAAAAAAAAAGGATTTTTTTTCCCGCTTTGTTCTTTTTAGCAATGTGTTCCCTCTTTGTTTTTTTTAACTTTTTTAATTTTCAGATTTACGTCATTCCATTCATTTCCACTCATTTGACTCATTGGTTGACTTGTTTGTTGATTCGTTTGCTGACTCAAAATTTTTAAATTTTAATTTTTAACGTATTTGACTCACTTTGGTTTCTTCCACCAATTCCATCGAGTCGTCAATCGTATCCTGTGTTGCATTCGTGCGATGATGTATGCTGTGCATTTTCGTGCCAAATTCGTCACGGATCGATTCATGCACGACTTGTCGATATTTTGCGGATGATGCATTCTGCAGGTTGATGCCAGATTCTTCGCTGCTTGAGTCGAAAGTAAACAAAGTAACAGGAAGACAGTACTTTGAGAGCGGCAGGGCAGCAGCCATTGTAAGAGTCGACCTTCTCTCTCCTTCTCAGCAAGCCCACTCCCCTTGAGGCCACCCATTGACACTTGGATGCCTCACTCACTAATAGTCGCTATTCTTCTCTTCTCCCTACCCCCTTGGTCCTCGTGTGGGCTGGTCAGTGTTTGCCTATCTGGGTATTCAGCTTTCGTGCTTGTGAAAGAGATAGTTAACATGCTAATCCCTGGCTATTCGTCCTGAATGTACGTCATCCTAAACGTAAAATATGTATGTGTACTGTGTACAACTTCTTCCCCTTCGCTGTCGCTATGCCTTTGATGACACGCAGGAAAAGAAACCTGTATGTCTGGTTTGCGTTGTTGCCCTCACCGGGGTGAGCCTTTCTGAAGCTCAGGATCGATGCCCTCTGTGTGTGCATGCATGTAATGTGGACTGTAATATAAATGTAATTGTAAATTAATTGTAAATTAATTGTAAATGTAAAGTAAATGCTATGTCAAGACCTAGGCTACGAGAGCCGGGACCACTAGTCCGACCAGGCAAAAAAAAAAAAAAAAAAAAAAAATTCTAATTTCTAACTTTATTAAAGTTTATTTTTAATTTGAATTTGGTCAAGAATTTCGATGTACCCTGAGGCAAAAGTTATTCAGTTTGTTTTTCTGCATAACATAGTTTTAAAAACTTTTTTTTTTTTTTTTTTTTTTCGGGGACCTTCTTTGGCCCTTGCACGGGCGTGCCGCCCGGGCAAACAAGGTAACCCGGGCTGCCCGGCAGGTAGCCTAGGTCAGAGCTAAAAAAGTAATGTAAATATAATGGAACGTAAATACTAAATATCTGGATGCACACACGCATGGCCCGTAGGGAATGGTCGACACGTGCTACAGTGGCAGTGGCAATAACAAACAAGGCGCCGTCCTTGGGGACATCCGTGGAAATTGGAACGATACGCAGAAGATTAGCATGCCCTCCGTGCTAGGATGACACACATAAACCAAGGTATGGTCCAGATCTAAAAGAAGAAGAAGAAGAAGAAGAAGAAGAAGAAGAAGAAGAAGCAAGGTGCTACCGTCTTCACCCGAATAGAACACCCGGTCATTATGACTTTATTTGGGCCAGTTTCAGTCCAGATGCAGCGAGAATGACCGGGTGTTCTATTCGGCTGGAGACCATAGGTGGGGCAAATCATGCGATATTGAATCAATTTGGGGGGATTGTTCGCTGCAACTAGAGAACCGTCTTCCCCCAAATGGAACGTGCAGTCAATATATAGGGGTACGACTGAAAGTCACTCAAAATATAGCTATAATGATAGGGCTTCCTATTCCAGTGGAGACGGTAGTAATGACGGATCAGCGTGCTGCGGTGAATGGGTTCTTGACCCCTGTAGTGAATCCTTGTAGCATGCCGGCCTTGTACTAGGACCCCTGCAGTGAATAGGTACTAGGACCCCTGCAGTGAATAGGTACTTGATCCCTGCGGTGGATAGGTACTTTCTGGCACTTAGTCCGTGAAATCCTAAACATGGTCCAAGCCAGGACGTATGACTCGATCCCTTGTCGGTGCAAGGAGTCTAATGAAAAGGGAAGACCCCGGCCTAACGAGACAAATTGTGTTTCATAGCCTGTGCTTACCGAGCAGGGAAGACCCCGGCCTAACAAGACAAAAGAGGAAGCCGGGGCACAGGAGCATGTTGGGTGAGAGCGTGTGCTGGCTGGCGTAGCCAGTGGCAATCTAGGTGCAAGGAGGATTGTGGCCCTGCTCGCTTGCAAGCAGTGCAAGCAGGGAGCTGTAGACAGCAGGCATGATGAAGAGGTCCTTGGGAAGTAGTGAAGGCTGTGTGTGTGTGTGTGTGTGTGTGTGTGTGCGTGTGTGTGAGAGAGAGAGAGAGAGAGAGAGACCAGATTGAGCGTTTTATCATATATATATATATATATACAGAGAGAGAGAGAGAGAGAGAGAGAGAGAGAGAGAGAGAGAGAGAGAGAGAGAGAGAGAGAGAGAGAGAGGCCAGATTGAGCACTTTATCATACTTTTGAGAACACTTGAGAAAAGTTGAGATTTGATCTCCTGATGGGTTCAATTATTTCATTTGCAGTCCCGTGTGGCATGTGCAATGATAGAATAATTGATATTTCGATATTTGAATACTGGAGTTGGATTGCTGCTGAATTCATTTTCATATCACTTTCCCTTTTGGTCATGGTTGAAATTATTTTCATACTTATCAGCGCGCCGGAAGGATCGACCTGGTGGAGGCCGAGGATGATGAAGACGTTGAATTTGACGACTTTGATGAAGGTAATGTGATCCATTGCTTCCCTCTACCTCCTTTCTTTGTCTACAAATTGACTTTCTTAGCCACCTTTCCTTTCTGTTTGTGTCCTCTCTCTCTCTCTCTCTCTCTCTCTCTCTCTCTCTCTCTCTCTCTCTCTCTCTCTCTCTCTCTCTCTCTCTCTC